CTTGCCACTTTTCAGCTTGAGTCTGAATGTTGTGTTGGTTCTTAGCAGACAGGGTCATTTCTCAGTTTCTCAGGTAGGTGCCAATATTGAAGCTGTACTGGATCAGTTTGGTGAGTGGCTCAGCTCATTCTGGAGTGCCAGCCTTCAGTAACACATCTAGGATTTTGCCAGGACCCACACAGCCTTTTCTATGTCCAGTGTGCTCTGCCATACGTTTCCTGAGGTCATGTGGACTTAACTGAATTCACTAATGACTGACTTTCGGTGATGCTGTGGACCTCAGGGTGAGGCCATTGCTGGATAAGCCAGTCTGGCTGAAGGTGGTTACAATAACCTTTTCATTTTCAATCGAACGTTAGATTCCATCATCATTATCGATGGGGATGTTAACGGATCCTCATCTTCCTGTTCATAGTCATGCTGCTGAGACACTCTTAGTGATAGACATTTAAGTCCCTCACCCAGAGTACACTCTGTTCCCTTGCCACCCTCAATGCTCCCTGCAAGTGGTATTTCAAAACCAGGGAACATTGATTAACCAGCTCAATGGTGAGCAGGGTTGGGGGTATGGGAGCAGCAGTAGGTGGGAATCAGCAGGAAGTTTCCTTGCCTAGTTCTGACCTAACACAATGATATTTCATTGGATCCTGAATCATTGCTGACCACTTCCAGGGCAACTCCCTCCCAAATGTATGCTACGTTTATTACGGTGGGTCTTGAACTCAAATTTCTGGATTATTAGCCAAGGTCTTTGGACTATTGACGCAGTTAAATAATCAATAATTTACTGTACCCCTGTAAATACAAAGAAAAACATTTACTTCAGGTCAGGCCTGAAACTGACCCTTGTCATATATGATAGTAAGAACTGCTGATGCTGGAGTCAGAGATAACACAGTGTGGAGCTGGAGGAACACAGCAGGCCAGGCAGCATCAGAGGAGCAGGAAAGCTGACGTTTCAAGTCGGGACCCTTCTTCAGAGTCCCGACCTGAAACGTCAGCTTTCCTGCTCCTCTGATGCTGCCTGGCCTGCTGTGTTCCTCCAGCTCCACACTGTGTTATCTCTTGTCATCTATGGATATTTTGAGGGACAGAGTTCCAACTTTCCACTACCCTTGTGTAATGAGGATGTGGCGAGGATGCTTCCTCCTATGGGAGAATCGAGAAGTCAGGGCAATGTTTAAAAATCCCATTTAAAACAGAGATCAAGCAATTTCTGTTCTCGCTCAGAGTGTTGACAGTCTTTGGAAGTCCTTCTCAAAAAGTTGGCAGACGCAGAGTCCTTGAATATTTTTAAGGCAGAGGTAGATAAGATTCTAGTTAAGCAAGGGGTTGAAAGATTAGGCAGGAATGTGGATTTGTGGTTATACTCAGATCAGCTGTGATCATGCTGAATGACGCAGAAGTCTCAAGGGGCTAAATGGCCTTTTCTCATTTGTGTGCAAGTTCTTCCTGATTTCACTCAATCAGTGCCCACTCCACCCTCCTTTCCCCATCTGAGGGAATAGTGTTGCTGCATCTACAGTAGATGTTTTCCAAACAATGATCCAGAGATGTTAAGGCAGACCTCTGGAGCAGGTGGGACTTGAACCCAGGTCTCCTAGCTCAGAGGTCACACACTACCACTCCACCACAACAGCCTTGCATTTATCATTTATTTTTAAAGTCTATCCTTGCTCTACCCTGGATATTTCCCTAATCAACCTATTCAGAGATGTTATGACACACTTTTGGAACAGGAAGGACTTGAACCTGGGTTGCTGCCTCAGAGGTATGGACACTACCATTGCACCACAAGAGTCCCTGCATCTGCCCTATTTTATCCATTCATCATTTTAAACACCTCACTTTAATTACTCTTCAATCTTCTAATTCCATAGGAATATAACCCAGACATATGTATGTTTTCCTTCATGATTTAACCCTTCTGAAGTGCTGAAGTATATGTCAGTTATTTTGAATAAAACTTTGTTGCTAACATACGTCTGTATTCTTGTGCCCATTTAAACACTGTGGTGTCCAGGAAATTAATGATTTCCCTGTGTGCTGTGGCTTTACGTTTAATGGGTGGTTGATAATTACTGACGATATTGGTGAATTCTTGCAATTCTGCTTTTGCGCAAATTCAAATTCCACATACACCAACACAGATACAGAAGGGAATGTTACTACATGACTGCATCACTGAGTAAATCTAAATTGGCCGTGATGTCCAGGGATTGGCAGGCTAGGTTAATAAGCCATGGAAAATGCAGGGTTACAGGGATAGGGTTGGGGGTGGGGGGGATGCCGGAGTGGAATGAATTTCAGAGGATCAGCATGGATTCGATGGGCCAAATGGCCTGCTTCTATGATCACTGAAAATGAAAACATAGCCCCTGCAAACCAAAATGTAGACCCCAAGAATCAAAAAGGAACCCTCAAGTGGAGCCCCCAGAAAACAAAAAACAGAAGTTTTTTTGTCCTGACAGATCACAATATCCTGCCTGAAGTCTGCAGGCCAGAGCTAAACAAACATTACATCGAGATTATATCCATCTGCTCCATCATTTCCTTCCCCTTTGTATTGCAACCCCACTTGGGATGAAGGCCACAGTTCATTAAATTGGCCTTTTTGATTACTTTGAACACTTCTCGGCCAGCATTGAGTGATTTTTATACATGGATATGTAGAACTCCTTAATGGCCCAAGGCTTCCAATGCTCTCACCATCAGGAAAATATTGTGATCTTTCTTTCTTCCTGGACCCAAAGTCAATGATGTCACACTCAACCACATTGAGCTCCATGTGTTGGCCGCTCATGGACACATGACGCACTCTTCCTTCCCCACAGTCAGCGAGACATACCCAAAAGCCAAGGCCCGATACAGATTTCTGGGAGCACTGTCAGTACTTATTCTCTTGTGTGATGACAGCATTGCTGGCTGGGCCAGCAACTGTCGCCAATCCCTGATTGTCTTTTAACTGAGCAACCTGACTGACCATTTCAGAGGCCGGTTAAGAGTCAACCACATTGCTGTGGGTCTGGAGTCACATGGAGACCAGACCAGGTGAGGATGGCAGATTTCTCTCCCTAAAGGACATGAGTGAACTAGATAGATTTCTATGACTACCAATTCATGGTCACCATTACCAAGACTAGTTTCACACTCCAGAATTTATAAATTGGATTTAAATTCCACCAACTGCCATGGTGGGAGTGGTAACCCACATTCACAGCGCATTAGCCTGGGATCTCTGGGTGGCTAGTTCATGTGATTTACCTACTAAGCTACCATCTGCCACCAAACAGAATCCTGGCTATCTATCTCTGACATTCTAAATCATCACCAACCTTGGAACCATACTTCTGTAGAGGATAAATGGAGAACAGCAAGAAATAGCCATGGTTAAAACTAAATAACAACCAGTTTTCACTCTTAGCATCTCCTTAGCAAGGACAATCATCTATACTTTTTCATTCTCTTTATATAATATTTTAGCTTGTTACAGTTTTCACTTCAAAGCTACTCAACTTGTCATGAATTAGGGAATCCTGTTTTTATTTTGGACACGCTCCTTCTAAACTTTTTCTGACCCATTGAGATTTTACAAATTTCAATAACTAAAGGCACAGTCAGAGATTAAAGACCAGAAAGCCAATCCAGAACATAATAGTTTGATGTTTTCCCAAACTTCACCTGTGAAAAGGAGTCCATCTCAATTCCTTGCTTCACCAGATCTTGGATTCTTCACTTAGCCATGTAAAACGTACAGGTAAGGTTACATGGGATACAGGACACAGAAACAGGCCATTCGGCCCAACCAAATGGTTCCTCCTTACGTTCCTCCTTGAGAGTCCTCTCATTTTTTCCTCATCTAAATCCCTTCTCCCTTGGTTTTGTCTTAAATCAATATTATTTACATTATCCCTGTTCCCAAATTCCATATTCACACCATTCTCTGCAATGGTGAAGTTCCTCCTCAATTCCCTCTTGGGTTACTTGGTGCCTATCTTACACTGATGCCTTCTCGTTATACTCTTCCACTCAAGAGGAGACAATATCTCTGTAACCACTCCATCAGTACCTTTCCTCATTTTAAAGTCACCTCTCAGCCTTCAGTAATCAAGAGCAAAGAGACCCAGGCTGTTGATTCTTTCCCAACACGAAGCCACAGATTTCCGGTATTATCTTCATAAATCTTCCTGCACCATTGCTTTGCCTTGCTCCAAAAGCTTGTGTTTTCAAATAAACCTGTTGGACTAAAGTTCTGAGGAAGGGTCACCGGACCCGAAACGTTAACTATGTTTTTTCCTTCACAGATGCTGCCAGACCTGCTGAGCTTTTCCAGCAACTTTGTTTATGTTGCTGTTGGGCTATAGCCTAGTGCTGTGTGATTTCTGACCTTGTTCACCCCAGTCCAACACCGGCACATCATCCTATCTCCACATCATCCTATCTCTAATAAGATGTCCAGAAATGAACATAAAAAGTGCGCTCTAACCAAGGTTCACCAACTTTGGTGTTCAATTCCCTCTCTCTGGAAGTAAAACCCAAAGCTAGCTTTGCTAGACAGAGTCACCATAGTTCCAGAGAGAGATGACTGGTGGTGAGTTTAACCTGAGACTCTGCACATCCCAGGTGAGGGGGACAGTCCTTCTTAGTAACCTCAACCGGGGCAGGAATTGAACGCACTCTGTTGGTGTCACTTGACATCACAAACCAGCCATCTAGCCACCTGAGCTACCTGAACCCCTGCATTGCTTTCACCTGACCTACTGCACAAGTTCCAGCGACTGCTGCAATGGTGACATCAGCCAGTCAGGGGAAAACAGCCAATCACTTTCTGATGAGTTAAGGAGATATTCGGATAGCTTCCAAAATGGGTGTGCAATCCTTCCCACCCAGTTTTTATTCAAAGTGCTCCAACCAGACAGCCTGTCCAGCAGAACACAATAAAGAGCTGCCCTCTGTCATCCAACCGTATCTCAAGCTGTATCAACGTATGGTTCACTTACTGTTAGGTGTTGGAACAACCATGCTCGCATGATGTTTGTGGCTACCTTTGGGAAGATCCCTCGCTTTTTCTGACGTTTTTTATCCTTGTCAGGATCGTCATCATCTCCCGTGCTTGGTGAAGCTACACTGTTGTCCAAGCCGTCACCTGTGAGTACATTAAAGATGCAGTTTTAAAGCAACCTTTTGTACAGTCCTCTGAAAGTCTACAGTGCAGAATTGCAGGAGAGCTACTGAACAAGGAACATTTCAGGCACAGACTTAAACCGTCTGCCTGGGCACATAACACACACTTTGGTTGGCATGAATGGCTTTAACATCCATGCCAGGATTGAGAGTTTGAGACCATTATTGCTCTCACCTGAATCTTCACGCTGCAGCTTATGACAATCCTGCACACAGTACACAGACAGTACAGCCACATGGGTTACTATAATTAACAATGAGATACTTGTACATAGCCACTATTATTTCTTTAGATTGCACAAAATCAGGAGATTTCTGTTTTTCCTACATTCTCCAGGCACACAGGGTACATTCATGTTCGGGTGCTGCTGTGATCTGTCAGCATAAATGATTAGGAAATTCAAAATAAGTTAGCTTTCACTTTCCAACACTGAGACACAAAAGCAGTCTGGTTTGCAAAGTGACATACAATGGCAACTGATTTGTACCTGGAACTCCTAAAAATCTACTCCTCCATTTGGTGCTACACTCCATGGGAACAAGCATTACTTCCCCAACCCCATGTCACTTCATCAGTTACCTCAATACTCTGAGCCAAAGACAAAATTGTCACAGGGACACCCATTTCTGACACACTACTCCTCACTGCTCCTTGCTTGGGTAATTAACCTACTCCTTGCTCTTCTTCATTGTTTACATTGTAAGGGGAGGCCAGAACATGCCAGCTGTGCTCAGGTCTTATTGAAGCACAAAAAAACCCAGAACTTGCCTGGAAACAGCTGGAATGGCCCAGTTATTCGCTTCACCTCGGACTTGTACAATCCTCTGAAAGTCTGCAGTGCAGCATCGCTAGACAGCTACTGAACAAGGAACATTTCAGGAACAGGCTCAAACCATCTGCCTGTCCTTACACTGGGCACATAACGCACAGTTTGGTTGGCATGAATGGCTTTAATGTCCATGCCAGGATGAAGAGTTTGAGACCATTATTGCTCTCACCTGAATCTTCGCAACGCAGCTTATGACAATGCTGCACACAGTACACAGACAGTACAGCCACATGGGCTACTATAATTAACATTGAGGTATTTGTACATAGCCAAGCGGTAAAAGATCCCACCTGTAGTGTTGGGAACAGGTACAAGTTATTAACACGTAGACTACTCCAGAAGCACTCGCCACAAAGTCCCACATTCTCTTTTTTAATTTCCACTGTGAAAATTATGGCAGGGGTGGAGTGCTGATTTTCAGTCCCCACACCAATTTACGCACCTAAACTTTAGCTTCAGCGCAGAATAAAACAAACATTGTTGACACTCTTTTACTTTCTCCAACCTCTATGGTGTTAATGAGCTGCTTAACTCTGTGAAGCCGGCTTCTCCGTTCTCAGACGAGGGTGTCAGGAAGTCTAAGCAGTCCTATTCGATTTGGGGTTTGGGCAGTTGCAGATTTGTCCTCCGTGGATACAAATTCACAGCATGAAACTGACCATCCCCTCAGTAGGAACTGCAAGTCAGAATAAGGCCAGACAGCATGGGGAATGAAGATTCTGCACCAGTGCAGTAGGGGGTGCCATTCTGAGGCAAAAGGTTAGTCTGAGTGCAGAGGCATAGACAATGAATCTATATTATTTCTGACCTGACAGTGTATGAGGCAGACACTAGATGCAAAGTCTTTCATTTCCCCTGTTTTATTCCTGACGGGCATTAAAACTAGTGGCAAATACAAAATGCAAACAATTTGTTAAGTTAATGTGGGCCTGAAAGTGCTTAAAAATAACAGCCAGAAATAGACTGTCATTTACTGGAGTTAAGGACAAAACAAAAATACATTCGCTGCTTCATTAATAACGCATCATGAATACAGCACGTACTGTTTTACTGTCATTTGAGTCTGAGGTGAATGCTGGGAGTTGGGAGGCAAAGGCAATTTATTTCACCCTCATTATAATTTATTAAAGGAACAGGAATAGAAAAAAAAATCAACAGCTGCTCAAATAGGAACATAAATACTGCAAACACTAGATTATTCATCACAATTAAGAATAGAAGTCATGGGTACAGATTATTGATCCAGAATCTGTCACAGCATCCAATCTAATGGCATACCCTTCCCCCACCCTAATATTTCTGCACCAACCCTCCCCTTCACATATAACTTTCCATCTGTGCCAAAAAAGCCTTCAAATTCATTTACTAGTAATGCCCCACTGCCTCACTAGAGAAGAATTCATTGATAATTTATGGAAATATCTACTATAATCCAGAGATGACTTTTTCCATCTTTGTGCATCAATAGAATAATCGAGGCTTTAAAACAGTCTTTGCTTCCCATTACCTCAGGCAAAAGAATTCCTGAAAGCATGCCTTCAGGGCACCTGAATTATACACACCATTAGGAGAAGGAAAGGCTTTCTGCATTCCATATAAAACACTCACCAGTACCTTTCCTGTTTCACTTATGTCATGAAAGCTCCCACACACTAGAAACAGAAATTTTAAGTAAAGACTTATGTCGAAACAATGGCAGAAGCTTTTGTTTTTGAAGTGAGGACAATACGCCCCTCAGTCAATGTGAAAAGATGGACTTACCCCAAACAACTAGTCTTGGTTACATCATTAGCACCAGTTCCATCCGCCACCGCCCCCAACAAAAAAAAACACTGCTGCAGCTTTCATGCACATTTTGCTCTTCCCACTGTTTTCAGGCAAACAGAGGAGGTTTGCTTTCATCTGGGAGGGGAATTGCGCTGCCAGCTTGTAATCAAAGACAAGATCCTCATTACGAGCAAATGCTTTCAAATCCTCGGGTTCAGAGATGGCAAAGAGAAACAGAGAGATAAGTCAGCTGCGCTGGAGGTGAGTCGAAGGTGTGGGTGAGACCCTCACCTGCATAGATACCAAAGGAAGTTATTGAGTCCACAGGCAGTTTTCTTCCCTTATATTTTTATTGTTCCCTTTAAACACTTTTAAAAAATCTATTCTTTTCTAACTTTTCTCATACAACTGACCTCTGAGAGCTGAAGCCTTGGAGAAAACTCAAGAGCATCAATTTTATTGGCATTCCCATTTTTGCTGTAATTTGATAGCATCTCTGTGAGGTCTGGGGCTAATTTCTTTTTGTCTCTTTCTCCCTCTCTCTGTCTTTCCAGACTCCAACCAGCTCACTCAAAGAGTGCCATATGGTTGCAGCTACAGGCCACATTTGCAAAATATCAGTGCTGACTTCATTCCTAGCTCTGACTTCCCCCTGCTTCCAAAGCATAGGTAAATTATGAAGGGAGAGCTGAAAAGGTGGAAATAATCACAGAAATGATGCTAGTCCATAAACAAGCTTACAGCCTCATTAGTACAGCAGCAGGCTCCTCTGGCTGATTTATGCTCAGTTTTTTTTTGCTGATGCCACGAGGAAATGCCACAGGGCAACTTTCTGTCAACTGCTAACAGCTTCTGACAGATTCCTAGCAACTAGTGTGTGCTGCGTTGTGGGTTTCACCAGTGACAGGAACTCAAAATGTCATCTCATCTGCCCATGTTTCACGGACTCTGTGTGGCAATTAAGCAGGCGACCAATGAGGGAGGTGGCTAGAGGCATTTTTCAATTGCCCCTGGCTATTTTGGGAAAGGGGGGGTGGTGGGGGAAGGTGTTGGGGAGAAGTTGGGGGGGGCACACGGGTTTGCAGATTGGGGGAAGGGGGGGTCACACAGACCTTGCTATCACTGCTTACACAAGTACAGCACACTTGGCCAGCCAGCATCTGAGCATTGCTGCTGTCAAAGTCCTGATGAGTTTGATCCATTCAAATGGTCTGTAACTCCCCTTCCCATTTCCGTGGGCACAGCATGACATTATCAGATGAATTTCGGCTAATCTCTTTCGATATTGGGGCCTTTGGAATGCCACTTTAATTGCCCATATCTGACCCCATTTATTTGGCGAGTCAAGGTGCGAACCGCCCTTGCACTCTTGACAATTTAGGCAAAATATGATTTAAAGCCAGCGGAGCTGACACATCGCTGTTTTACAGCTGTGAGCAGCAGCGAAAACAAAAAAAAAGCACAACAACCAGGCTTTATTTAAGAATGCCATTGGATCAGTCACAAACATTGCTGAGCCACCGTCCCGCAATTCAATTTTCTAGTAATGAAGAGCATGAACTGTAAGTCAAAACTGTCAAGCCTTTCATCACACTTGCTTGCCCTTTGAAAAAATTTTTTTTGGAATTGTTTTTACAAAATTTTATAGGCCATGGTCTGGTGAAAGAGGCCAGTCAGTAGAGAAAGGAATTTGTATTACAATTCAACCATGGGCAATTTCTTATAAGGTCCCTGCCTATCCCCTTGGAGGGCAGCAGGTCACCTGTGCAGCTCTTAGTCTGTTGGATTGCTCAGATTTCAAACACCCACTCAGCTCAAACATTGCACAGTTGTCCATTTAAGCATGCCGAGGCAGTTAGGCCTCTCTATCTTGTTCCTTTCAAGAAAAGATAAAGCAGCATTTATCGTATTCAGACCATTCAATGGGTCAGAATGGTTATGTCTGCAGGGGTTCCCCTTCACACAGGTCAAAGCACTCTTCCCTCCTCCTCTGTAAAATCTAGCCACGCTATAAAAATATTTTAGTTGTCTGTTCTTTCATGGCTGCAAATGTGTTACACCACTGTATTTTTAATAATGTGTGTGCGTTTTCTGCACAATATTTTAGCCTCTCTTGACTTTTTTATCTGGAGGTTTTAAGATTAGCTTCAAAGAAATTAATCCAAACTTACATCCTAATTTATTATTGATTCTTTTGGCAATTTTAGTAACATTTTTCTTCCCTAAACTGCCAAGAAATGAAATGTGAATAAAATATGGTTCTTTTCAAGCTGTCCTTTCATATTTTTGCGAGTCACCAGATAAATGGCGACTTTATCCCTAACAAACTCTTGAACTAAGTTAGAACTATCGAGTGCTATAGGCA